TAGAATTATTTACTAATTTTCATATAAAATTAATATTTAGTGTTATGAAATTAATATTATGCATATATTATTAAATGGTTGTATAGGTTGTATTGTCTAAGAGAGTGGTGAAATGGGTGTTGTACAAGGAAACATGTTATTCAAGACATGAGGTAATCATTATTAATGCGTGATAGTGTATGTATGTGTGATTAATTGTGTGTTTGTTTGTTTTTTGTTTGGAAAATATTGATTTTTGTTGAGAAATAATATATATATATATTTTGTTTAGAAATAATTGCCAATTGAATTAAATTTATATTTATGAATATTTTGTGAATATTGACATTGCTGAAAACATGAGATAAATTGTCTGATTGATCTAAGATTGTGCCAAATAATTTTTGTTCAGTTATTATAAATGCATGACTGGTCGGAGTATATTGAAAATTATTCGGTAAAAATTTTTGCTTGGTTGAGTTATCATGTGGTAAGGCTTCATTAAAATTAATGCATGGCTTGCAGTTTAGTCCAACTCACCTTTGATCGGATGACCTGGCATCCGAGCATGACATAAGGAGGGATATAAGGTGTAGCTATGTTAATTAAATATTTCTTTGGATTGTTGTTTTATTTGCCTACTTAACAATTGCATGATTAACTATCTTACATGCATTATTACATATTAATATTTAGTTACTAAGACTTTTAAGTCTCATTTTCTATAGTTATTAAATTTTCAAGAGTGAGTTTAGTTGGAGAAGAGCCTAAGGTGTAATTTGGTGTATGAGACAAAGTTTTCTATTTCAACCTCTTTATTTATTAATGATGTATATTATGCCAATTTAGAAGGGATATATATATTATGCACGTGGACTTTATTTTTAAATTATGGTATTTTATATGTCAAGAGAATTATGTCTGTCCCTCTTGACTTTAGGCATTTGTGAAGTAAAATTTCAATCAAATATGCTCCTCTATGGTAATTTTTTATGGTAACTAGTATTTAAAAAAATATAACTAGGCCCAAATCAAGCATCCACAATAAAAACATAGTTTGTGAAGTGTTACTTAACTGGCCATGGCTTTGAAATTATAACAATAGTGTATACTTGAAGTACTTAATGATTGCTTTTTTTAATTATCATGGTAAAGTAAATTTATTATGTTTAAATATTTCTATCATGATAAACCTTTTTAGTATGATAGACTATTTGTAAAATATTTTTATAACTATTTTTTTCTATCATGGTAAGAGTTTAAAATTATTAAAATAGTTTATCAAACCATTTATTTGTGAAAAATAAGTGTCAAAATTTAGGTGTTATAATTGATATAGGCATACTTTCTGTGCGTTTGATTTATATGTAATTTGTTAGATGTTTCATGTAAATAATTCCTTAGTCATGCTCATAAGCTTTCTGACATATTGATTAACATGTAATTCATAGTTATTTTTATGTAATTTTGGGAGATTAACAAGGGTATGCTCTCTGTGTTTGATTTACATGTAATCCGCTAGAGATTACATGTAAATTATTCCTTAAGCATGGTTATGATTTTTTTTTCATATTGATTTACATGTAATTCATAGTTACTTTCATATAATTTTGGAGAATTGATAGGGGTGTGCTCTCTCTGTGTTTAATTTATATGTAATCCTCTAGAGATTACATGTAAATTATTTCTCAAGCACGCTCGCAATTTTTTCTTATATTGATTTACATGTAATCCATTGTTATTTTCATATAATTACAGGAGATTAATAGTGGGTGCTTTCTATGTATTTAATTTAAATGCAACCCACAAGATAGTACATGTAATTGTCCAAGTTTTGCCTTACACCCTAAGTCAAAACACATGCACCCCAAGTGAGATCCCTTGTACCTTAAGCTAGATCTCTTGCACCTAAGCTAAAAGCTTCGCATCTCAAGCCAGAAGCCTTGCATCTCAAGCATAAAGTCTTGCACTCAAGCTAAATCCTTTGCACCTAAATTCAGAAGCCCTGCACCTACGCTAGAAGCTCTATACCTAAGCCATAACCTTTACACTTTAAGTCAAAAACCTTACATCCAAGTCATAACCTTTATACCTCAAGCCAAAAACCTCATATTCAAGCCAAATCTCTCACACCCAAGTTAGAACTTTTCCACCCTAAGTGAAAATTATTGCATCTTCTAGTTGATGAGTTTACATGTAATCCTTAATTATTACATGTAAACTAAGGGTGTTAATTTTTTCATACGACACTTTACCTGCTAGAGCTCCAACAAGCACACTATCACTTGCCAGAGCTCTGGCCATCAAATTTTATGCCTTTTTAAAAATAAATAGTTAACATAGAGAGGCATTTTGGTCATTTGCTTAAATTATTTAATGAATAAAATATTAGTCTTGATCCTTCAAGTACATTTAGTCCCTGTGACCAATTTTGCTTCTAACTAGGTCATTTTCACCAAATTTTCCTACAAACAATTACCTGTAAGATAAAAAAAACTCGTTTTCTTGGTGTTCAATCTTCTTTGCACAAGATTGTTGTTTCATTGGTTAATGAGATTCATTTTTTATTTATAATTATTAGGAGAAAAATTAAAAAATTACTATGCTTTCAGGTAAATATTTAACTTTTATTGATTCACATGATTTAATTGAAAATATCTTTTATATAAAAAGAGATTGAGTATTTGATAAACTAATATTTATATTCTTTCATGTGTGTTCATATATGGATGAAGTTATTTGGCTTGAAATTTGACGAAACTTTGTCTGCCTGAAGTCTAGTTTATCTTTAAGATTAAGAGAGAATTACTTTAATAGTCTCTATAGTTTTTTTTTAATTTTAAATTACATCACTGTAATTTATTTTATTTCAATTAAACTCTTATATTTTGATTAATTAAATATGTTAATTCATAAAAAATAAAATTATTAATGAATGATTAACTCTCTCAAAACATAAACACTTTTAAATTTTATAGAAATTTTGATTTAATACCTTTGGCAAAGAATTTTTAAATTTAATACACTGATTATATTTTTATTACATATTTCATGAAAATTCTATATGTATACAAATTATTCAAAGACATAACTTAATTATGTTAATTTTACAATTCTAAAATTCTATAACTTCTTAATAAAAATATAAAAGTTCTTGATTTTATTTTTTAAAAATTCAACCATTAGAAATTAATAAATTGTTATATTTAATCCAATTAGATATTTACATAAAAATCTTGTAAATCAAATTACAAGAATTTTATTAGATAAAATAAATTAGAAATTTTTTTATGCGAAATTGAAAGAAATTATAGGGAGCTGCAAATTAGTTTTTCCTAACAATGTTATATTTGTCTCTTTATATCTATATCATTACATTACCAGTCCAATCAATTAGTATGTGAGAATCATGGACGGCTGGTTTTCGAGCTTTTTCAATATCTGTCCAATTTTTTGAAACAATACATGCTCGTCTAAGAAGAGGTCTTTTTCTAATACCAGAAAATTATTTCTTAATAGAGCATGTTCAATTTTTTGAAAAATAACAGTCAATCATTCTTTGGATATTGTAAATGTTATTATCCATATTAGTTTTTTTTTTCAAATTTTTTAAAACACATCAGTGTAATGCACGGGATCTAGTCTAATTATGGTTCATAGAAAGCGTAATGAAAGACGAGTACTAAACAACTTAGAAAACAGATAACGTAAAGAAAAAAAATACAAACAACTGCGACAAGCATAAATTGATGAAGGAGTCAGAGAAGTGTTCCTCTCCTCACCATTGCATGGCCATCCAGACATCAACATTAAATCTGCAGACGAGGATTAAAACGAGCATCGCCAAGTTAAAAAGATTAGTGAGGAAGACGTTTTAGGCACATTATCATTCATTTGAGATCGGACTCAGTTCAAATATAAATTCGTGGAAACATTTTTTAAAAAACCATGGTTTGAGAAAAGAAGGAGATGATTATAATGTAGTTTTGTAGGTAGAATTGGTTTAAAATCAACTAATTAGATTACCTTAACTTAAAAGAATGCCTCTCCTGTGAAATGAAAAATAATACGGACTTTTGTGCTGACTTGAAGTAAAAAATCGGCATATCTGAGATGGATTAGTAGCAAATTGGATGAATTAACTTCCACGCGTTTTTCTTTCTTGGACCAGGTCTCGGTCTCTATTTGAATGAGAACGGCAAAGGAACTTGGACGAGGAAGAAGAGGGGGTGCCCCTTTCGTTGTTTTGTTTTTGTCTCATATATAAATTATAAAAGGTAGGCTTTGCTGAGAGTATACTCGACTTGTGGAGTTGGGTACCAAAAGCAAATGATTGATTTTTTTTTAAATTAAATTACTACATATACAAAAATTAAAAATCAAATCTTCAATCTCTCGTTTAAATGATAGGAGCTTATACCGCTCATGCAATAGATCAATTTTTCAAAGGATTCTGATTTAATTTTTGATAACATTATTACTATAAAAATTAAATTTAAGATCTGATCTAAACACTTTAAATTATAAATTTTTCAGAAAATTTATTTAAATTTGATCTAAATACTTAAAAATTATAAAATTTTATTTATATATTGTTCTATAAAAATTATAATAACATACTTTAAAAAAAAATTTAATCTAACAATAATGGTAATGGAGGAGGAAAGAAAGTGACGAAGGTCTATTTGATAACCTGTTTTAAAAATATATTTTTATTATTTAAAATAAAATAATAAAAAAATTGATTTAATAATGTGTTTTTAAAAAATATTTTAAAAAATAAAAAATATTATTTTAAAGAATAAAAAAATAGAAATAATTTTCAGATATTCTGAAATTATTGTTCTGAAAGATAAAAAAATAAAAAAATATTTATTTTATTATTTTTTAATTTTAGAATATATTTTATAAAATATTAATTTTCATAATAATAAAATAAAAGCGGTTTCAATGAGCAGTAATTTTTCATCCGTCCATCTCCCTGAGACTTTTCCAACATCCGCGGCTTCGTCCTTGTTGTCCACGTCAGCGTCCAAGTGGTCTCCTACGGCTACCCCAACTTGACCTGCGACCAGTCCCTCGCGATCCTCCCCAAAAATCCCAAATCCTACTGCTTCAATCTCCCAACTGCACAATTCCTGTCTTCCTCCTATCTCTCGATTTACATTTGTTTTGCTTTGGAATTCTTTAATTCAATTTGTTTGTTCTGTTAGAATGAATGACTTGTTCTCCGGCTCCTTCTCTCGCCTCCGCCACGAGCAGGCATCGCCCGCACATCATGTCATCGAGATGGCGTCCACCACGCCTACCGGCGGTGTCAACCTCGACAAGTTTTTCGACAACGTCGAGTCCATCAAGGACGAACTCAAGGAGCTGGATCGCCTTAACCAGAACCTCCAGAGCTGTCACGAGCAGGGCAAGACCCTTCACAATGCAAAGGCCGTCAAGGACCTTCGGTCTCGCATGGACATCGATGTTTCGATTGCTCTGAAGAAGGCCAAGCTCATCAAGGTCAAGTTGGAGGCCCTCGAGCGATCCAACGCAGCCAACCGTAGCTTGCCGGGTTGCGGGCCAGGATCCTCGTCAGACCGGACCCGCACTTCTGTGGTCAACGGGTTGAAAAAGAAGCTGAAAGACTCCATGGAGAGCTTCAATAGCCTCAGGCAGCAGATCTCAACGGAATACCGGGAGACTGTACAACGCAGGTATTTTACAGTCACCGGCGAAAACCCCGATGAGAAGACCGTCGATCTCTTGATCTCTACAGGTAGCCTTCGCAATCCTCCCACCCCCCCAAAAAATAAATAAATAAAACTATCCGTGTTATAATTAGCGAAAGATGCTCTGGCCTCTCAATCTGGAGAATTTGGATTATTGTAATGATATTCAATCAAAATGGATACTCGGCATCCCATTAGCAAATTGTTATTGAAGACAGCAAAAAAGTAATTGGGAAAAAGACAATGAATATGTTTTTTTTTTCCTGTATAACACGAAGCTGTTTTAAAACACATTCATTTGTTTAGTTGTTGGCAAACCAATTCACAGGCATTCCTGTAAATTAATCTTATCAATTTCAAGCATGGGCCATCAAATTTTAGTGTTGGATGCAAAAATAATAAAGGATAGCACATTGGGGTGGAGAATATTACCTCAAAATGTGCTTAATTTTTTTTTTTTTGGGGGGGGGGAGGAAATTATTTAAAATGCACAAATTATGCAGCCAGATTGTTTTAGGCGATGTTCAATTGTTATAATGTGATGATTCGGTAGAAGAGCAGAATGATTTTGTGACCAGCGAGTTGAACATGAATGCAGGTGAGAGTGAGACGTTCCTTCAGAAAGCCATCCAAGAACAGGGTAGAGGCAGGATTCTGGATACTATCAATGAGATTCAAGAGAGGCATGATGCGGTGAAAGAGATAGAGAAGAATCTGAAGGAGCTGCATCAAGTGTTCCTTGACATGGCAGTGTTGGTGGAATCTCAAGGGGAGCAATTGGATGACATAGAGAGCCACGTGGCGAGAGCTCAATCGTTTGTGAGGAGTGGAGCTGAGCAGTTGCAGACTGCGAGGAAGCACCAGAAAAACACCAGGAAATGGACCTGTTATGCTATTACGATTCTCCTGGTGATCATCTTGTTTGTGGTTCTTTTCACTGTCAGACCATGGGAAAATAAAGGTGGCGGTGGCGGAGGCGGAAGTGGCAGTGGTAATCAGCCAGCTTCACCTCAAACACCTCCTCCACCGCCTCCGCCTTCTAGAAGGTAACATTGGGCAATTGCATTCTCTTCCAGTGAGTAGATAACCTTATCGGGGTGGCTCAGCTGCGTTATTGATCATGGATGGTTTATGTGTATCGTTCGTGGAACTCTAAACTTTCCTGTTTATTCTTCTTGCTTTTATCTAAGCCTGTGCATCATTTCTCCTTTATTTAATGCTGATAAGGAAATCGAGCTGCAAATGTTGCCAATTTCAAGTGTTTGTGGGGGCCTAAAGACAGAAAGAGAAACCTCACTTCGTGCTCAACTTCCAATTACGACTACATTTTCAAAATTTACGTTCCTCCTAACTTCCTCTGCTGGTTTTAGTTTAATGTGTATATAGATTTTTGGTGCTTGGTAAATGATAAATATGATTGCCATTGAAGAAAAAAAAAACCACAGATAAGGGGCCAAACTGCCACGTCTTCTAGTGTGATTATTCTTTACTTAGCGTCTCCTTTTAAATGTGGCATTCTTTATTTAAAAAATCTTTCAATTATTTTTTCGCATGAAAATAAATGGATAACCACGATATTTGTTGTACTTTTATATTATATGAAGCAGTAGTTCCGATCTCACAATAAATAATGAAATTTTATGAATGACAGTGCAATTCATTCTCTGTATCAGGGTTTAACGGATGGAAAAAATAAAAGGAGAATTGTATAGAAGAATCGTTTAAGAAGCTTGTTTGCATGAGGACTAATAATAAGTCTAATTTAAAAAAAAAAGTTTATATCTCTATTTTAATAACATTTCATTTTGCATTGATACTTATTTACAAATAATTTTTTTAAATAGTTATTGAATACAATTCTTTCAAAAATAAATTTCACAAATGCTATATGTCAAAAGAATTATAGAAGTTTGGACTTAGGTTTTTTTTCCTAAAAAAAAACTTGACGGCAATTTCATTGGCATGAGAGCTGCGCGACAGATAAACAAATGTTATTTCACTCCTCGTGTGTGTATGTGTGTGATAGTTGATGAGCCAATAAGAATCAGAAAATAAAAGTCATGCTGCACTTTTTTCCCCTTCAATCAAAGTTAATCCCTCGGCTGCGCCTGAGCCCCGATGAATGACAACAGCCTCTCCCTAATAATAATAATAATAATAATAATAATAATAATAATAATAATAATGATATCCTTGTTATGGCCTCTGGTTTCAGATATGACTCTTTATTTTAAATTGTAATTATTGTGCTTAATAATCAAAGACGATTTGAAGATGCACAAAATATCCACGCGCTTCCTTATCTCAAACGAATTCAAAAGTTTAGCTATCTCCGTATGAAAACCAAGTAATGCCCTCTGACTGGTTAATCCTTTGAACTTTCAGCCACATTTTCCTCTTCTTTCTTTTTCCCATGACATACTCCATCCGTCTTTATATATACAAAATTTTCTAAAACCTTATTTTATCACAAAATATAAGAGTTTATAAACATATTTTTTAATAAATAGATAATTATACTCTTATTAGATTAAAAAGAGAAAAAATAAGTATTGTCGTTAATTTACTTTAAAAAAAAGATTCATTTTTTATTTAAAATAATTATGGGCAAAATTGAAATATTGCTGTGTTTTTAATTAGATTATCAACTTTTATTAATTTGTATGATTTGGTTTGAAATATCTTATATATAAGGATGGAGGGAGTATACCTCATTGTGTCTCAGCTTCATGAGCGCGTTATTTTATTTCATCAATCCTAAATTAGTTCCCTACGTATTGGGGTCAGGAAAAATGGTTTTCTAGCAAGGAATTTGCTAGGAAGATGGTTTGCATGGAGCGTTTAGAGATATGATTTAGCTTGATTTTGACTAAAACTTGAACCAAATTAAATCAAAGTGTTTGCATAAAAAATAATACTTGATCAATTTTATGTTAAAATCAATTCAGTTCAGCTTTTAAATAATTTGATTTGGTTTGATTCGTTTATAGATCAAGTCTAAATGATTTTTTAATATATCAAATCATATATTGTGTTTAATCATAATGGTTCTCTCTTTTTTCTTTCTATTCTAATTTCAAGTTACACTTAGAGCGTTGTGTTTCATTATTGGTAGACATGAAGAGTATAGTTATGTGAAAGAGAACATGATTCTTTGAATAAAACCAATCTAACATGGTGGTTAAGCTTAATATATAAGAAGGAAGAAAATATATTTAAATATGAACTCTAAGATAATAATAATTATGAAAAATAAAACTCACAGCATAACTTACATATACAAAATGAAGGGGTTAGGGTTAAGTATCCTATTAACTTTCAGTGAAAAGTTTCATAGAGGAAGAAAATAATACAATGTCTCGAGCAATTGAATTATTGAAAGGGGTGATCAGTGAGTTACTTATTTTTGAATTTTTGAAGCAATTTAGGATAGGCTTTTATTAAAATTAAAGTGTAGGAGTAAAAAACTAATTAACAGACTAACGTCTAATAATCTAATCTAACCATGAAAAACACATTTAAAAATATAAAAAAGTGTGGTTTAGGTTTTATAAAGAAAAAAAAAACCAAAACCTGAATTGAACCATTCGATCCAGAATTTTTTAACACCAGACGAGATCTTTTTAATATTGGGTTTTGATCATTTTTTGTTGGATTGGCTTGGTTCGGTTCAATGTAGTCAGTTTTGATCATCATTAGCATGTCCTATAGCGAGTCATGTAAAATGAGGTGTGCAAAATATAATTTGAGTTTATTAACAAGAGTTGGATTTAGTAAAAAAAATTTAATTTTTTATAATGTGATAAATTAATATTTAAATTTCTGTTGAAAGAGTTACTCATATTTAATGTTCACAACGAGAGAAAAACTATAAAATATGTAACTTGAGTTTATGAGCGTGTCTTAAGAGTCAATAATTAAATGTGTTTTATGAACCACCTTCACCTGATTTTTTTTGAGAAGGATTCGCATCAAAAAGACAGTGTTGAAGATTTCACTCTATTACGTTCTATGGCATTGGTTTTTTTTTTATTTTTTAAATGCATATATCAAAGATACCCGTCAAAGGGCAGTCAGTAATTAATCTCTTTCAAATCATAAATCATAAATATCATAAAAGTGAATCTTATTTTTCCCAACAAAATATTTTTGATACACGTATCAGGAATGGAATCCCTGACACCTTATACTCATCGCCCTAGCTAGTAACCATTCCGCACCATTTTCTTTGAAACAAAGAAAGAAAGCATCCATCAATCAAATCCCTCTCTAGTATCCTTAACAATACAATGATTAAGTTGTTTTAATTGTGCAAAATATCAGTTTAGTTATTTATATTTTTGAAAAAAAAAAGCGAGTGGCTGCTGATATTTTTAAAAGAAAATAAGATAATAAATTAAAGGAGAAGTCTTCCTAGCGAAGTCTACATCTCTGGCGATTAAAAATGAAATGGTCGAATTTGCGTTGTGCCAACCCTTTGACCAGTTAAGCATTCTTTCTTTTCTCCTGCAGCCCCTGTCTGGTACAAGCATTTAATTTGACCAGTCTCTTCAAGACTTCAACGAAGGACCATTTAATTCGCTTATATTGTAATTCATTCGGATATATTCTCCAATATCCTGCTCTATTCTCATTCCAAAATCCTTCCTTTCCTGCGTCCTCCAACATGAACGACCTGTTGAGCTCCTCCTTTTCCCGCTCCGCCGAAGGCAACAACCACCACCACGTCATCCAGATGGCGGAGCTGACGGACGGCGCCAACCTTGACAAGTTCTTCCAGGAAGTGGATTCCCTCAAGAAGGAGCTCAACGAGCTGGAGCGCCTCAACCAATCCCTCCGTAGCTCTCACGAACAGAGCAAGACTCTTCACAACGCTAAGGCCGTCAAGGACCTTCGCTCTCGCATGGATTCCGACGTCGCTCTCGCCCTCAAGAAAGCCAAGTTCATCAAGCTCCGCCTCGAGGCACTCGATCGCTCCAACGAAGATAACCGCAGCTTGCCCGGTTGCGGACCTGGCTCGTCTTCCGACCGGACTCGAACTTCAGTGGTCAACGGCTTGAGAAAGAAGCTCAAAGACTCTATGGAGAGCTTCAACAACCTCAGGCAACAAATTTCCACCGAATATAGAGACACCGTACGACGTAGATACTACACGGTCACCGGAGAGAATCCCGACGACAAAACCATCGACCTCCTCGTCTCTACTGGTAAGTATATTCCGCCATAACGTTGAAAGTTCAAGTAAAACATTTTTAATAACAATCCAACGAACGGAAGTCAAAGACGTCTGTGAAATATACTTAAGCATTTTAAGTTTTTGACCAGTCTCGTGTCGCGCAAGATAAAAATTTTCTGATGAATATTCGTGAAAAGGAACGTGTACTTTTGAAGAAGGACATGTTTGTGTTTATAGATGAGATACTGATAGGAAATATGGTGGAGCAGGGGAGAGTGAGAGTTTCCTGCAGAAAGCGATTCAACAGCAAGGGAGAGCGAGCGTGCTGGACACGATCCATGAGATTCAAGAGAGGCACGACGCGGTGAAAGAGATAGAGAGAAATCTGAATGAGCTGCACCAGGTGTTTCTGGACATGGCAGTGCTGGTCCAAACCCAGGGGGAACAGCTGGATGATATAGAGAGCCACGTGGCAAGGGCTGATTCGTACGTGAGAGGTGGGGTGCAGCAGTTGCATGTTGCAAGGAAGCACCAGAAGAACTCCCGGAAATGGACTTGTATTGCCATCATACTGCTCATCATTATTATATTGATCATAGTTCTTCCTATTGTGTTAAGAAAGTAAACTGATATTTCACCATATCGTTTCATGCTCCTGGTGGCTTTGAATTAGTCAACCCCCTCCTTCCCCCCTGGATTAGAGAAATATTTTTCTTTTTTGTATTCATTATAATATTATTCTTTTGGTCGGGTGATGCTGTATAAATTAACTATTTATTCTTATTATTAGTACGCGTGTGTTTGAACTTTGAACTGAACACCCAGGGAATTGGTTTCTAGGAATCTGATGGGGCCTAGTATCATGGAGCTATTAGGGGAAAGATACTAAAGATTAGCATATGCTTGTTTTTAGGAGCACGTGTCTCGTGCCTTCAAAATTTTCAATAGCTTTTATCATTTGGGAGGAATTACGTTTATGATTGTTTTGCACGTTTTTTTTTGTTCCTTTTCCATTGTTGGTAGCTTTTGTACAAAAATGTGGTGCCTCCTCTTTGTATTTATATATGCTCTCACTCCCAATATAGCTTGCTCCTGCAATCTTGGTTCAATTCATCTGTTCTTTTAAAGTTCTTCATGCAGCTGGTTTTTTTTTTTTATTTTCATCAACGAGACAAGATGATTCCCCTGTTGTTGTGGTCTTTTTTTTTATTGCTTTTGGTTTTATGTTGCTCTTTCGTTTTCTAAATCTGAGAAAGTAGTTCAACTTCTTCTCCTCGGCTTTTGTTTGTAATCGTTTTACTTTGTTTAATGAAATTTGTCTTTTTATAAAAAAAAATCATCTGTTTTTTTTTTGGCCGACAATTCATTAGTTCTTTTACCAAATATGTATAGCCGAGGTCAGATACATGTCTTACTTTTATTGTTCCTAATTCCTCTTGATTATAATTTTCGTGGTATTATTTTCAAACTCTGGCTAGCTTAGCCTTTCCTTCTCCCAAGGATGTTAAAAGCAGAACTTCTTCCAATGGCATTTTAGTTCTAAATTGTTTCAGAAAAGAATCAAACTCAAGACCAGTAAGAAGAGATGCTGTCTGAACCACCATTTTTCCATTCCGGCACACTTAGCAATGGTTTCCATTGCTCGAGCCCGTTAAGACTGTAAACATTTTGAAATGTAATTTGACCACGATTTGACTATTCTATTTGTCAATACTTCCTACAAACATGGACAAATGGAATTAGATTATTGGTAGTCAGACTTGGCGGCTGCCATAACTAAAGAGAAGTCTTCATGCGTTTGGGATGTGCTTGTGGTTATTTTAGACTGACCAATATCAAACATAAGGAAGCCTTTAATCAAAACACACCAGCAAAAGCGAGAGCCTTATTATGATACATTCATCTAATCTCACAAGTTCGAGAATAAAACACGACAAGACATAATTAAAAAGCACAGAGTCAACCAGATTATCACGCTCTTATTACACATTACGGTCAACTGGAACAGGACATTAAGTCATTGACATTCCTAACCATGCCAAGACAGGTCCGCTCAGAAAGACCGAGCCAGTAGTACGGTAGATATAATGAGCCAAAGATGGCTCACCTAATTAGCCAAGGATGGTTTACCTTAATTAGCCAAGGATGGTTTGCCTAGTTAGCCAAGGATGGTTTGCCTTCAAACCAGATGGTAGAGCCAGTCTCCACAACAAAGGCTGATGCAAATGACAGGAATAGAACATCTTCATCTGGTCATGGCGCTTGTTTCCCTGGCCTTCCGGCTTAGAGTTTGCAGCAGTTACCCGCTGCTGAAACCCATTTTGCGGGCATGGCAATGCCACGTCCACTATCTATCATGTCTGCAAGAGAGTGCACAGGGGATCCCACATGATTGAGACCAAAGCCATCAAAAGTTCCACGTGCATACATGCTAGTCACCTCCAACCCTGAAACATGTGAACTGCTACCGTTGGTTTCCTTTGATGAATTCAGAGTTCCACCCTCTGATTGCAGAACTTCAGAACTCTGAGAGCCACTAGACTGGAATAGACCCTCCACAGTTTTGTTCACTGCGCTTTCACCATTCCCATTTTTCAGATTTCTTGTGTTCAAGAAGCGACCACCGCATCCTCTTGGTCGCCTCATTGCATGGAGGTGACGTGATTCATGCATGTAGGGCTGTAAGTAAGACAGACACGGCATAAATAGAGCTGTAAGAAGAGCAGAGGAAACAAAAAAATAATTCAATAGTCAAGGAATGCCATCAGAAGTGTTTTATCTTTCAGAGTTCTGACTGAATAAAGGAACATTTTGATGTCTAAAATGACTGAAAAGCTTGGATTCTTCTTTATGAAGGTCATAAAAATCCAGGTTACCAAAAAAAGAATCGTACCCTGCGCCGTTTTGTTAATTTATTCTCGAGTAAAGCCTTTGCGCGTGACTGCCGACGCCGGATGATTCCATGATACTGCTTAGCATTTACATAAATTGGCCCATCATCGGATGTCAAGTTAAGTGGCAGCATCAAACGGCCCTGTCTCATCACAGATGGATACATCTATGAATCAGCAGATAGGGCAGATCACCAAAAGATAAGCAAAAACAAATAATGCTAAGCATAATGCATCTTATAATTGAACGAGAAGGCCCAGTACATTTGTGCATAAGTGCATTTTTATTTTCTTCAGTTCAAACATCTCACTTTTTACTTTCATTATGTTATTGTCTTTCTTATTAGTCGTTATCTTTCAGTTATAAAGCCACGGGATATTTAGATGGCAACTCAGAATGATTGTTGATCCTGTTCGCCTGCGCAGTAGTGACAGGGCATAACTTGGCAATAATTGCTTTGGTCTACCATAATATTGGTAGCCATGTTGCAAAGAATAAACTCACTGCCAGCCCGTTACCAAAAGGGTAAAGTATGTTCCCCTGCAAGCATATTGAAAGAATCGCATGACTTTAACAGACTAAGAAGATTGCTAGAGTAAAGACGAACCGGAATTTGAGGTCCATAAGTTGAGATGAGCCCATAAAGTCTATCCATATAAGCATATTTTGAACAGATCTACAATGCAAAAAATAACAGGCATAAGTTGATCCCAAAGATAAAATAGTGAAGCATCAAAGGGTTTTTTTGATGAGGAATTTTACCATAGGCTGATTAAATTTTATTTCAAAATGACCACGAGGTTCAGGAGATGATCCATGAATTGACATAAATGCCTGATGCTTTGGTGTATCGTCTGACATCTCGCAATCTTCTGAAGAATAAATTTAAGATATTAAGTTGCTAATGTACCAAACGGTTTTTAAAATTGAATAGTTAGCCAAAGAGAAGTTGAAGTATCAATTCCGGAAACAACAGACTTAAAAACTAAATATGTTTTCTTCTACATAATTTAAAGCAAAACACAGAAGGATTAAATTTCAAGTATTTTGATAGGAGGTAAATCGTTAAATGGATAACCTCATTTTAGTTGCTAGATAAGCTAATAGTTAGAACATTCTGATAATCTGAGTAGCAACACCTTGAACGAGGAAGTTGTCTTCAGAAGAACTCTTGAAGTGAATAATAAAGCAAGAGCCCCTGCCCATGGGGAAAGACGTAGGGGAGAGGTCCATTCTTCATGCCAAGCAGCACTCACTCATCCAGAATAATTTGATCAGAAGATACTAGTATGTACTAATATACCATGAAATTCTTAGCCCTACATTGAAATATTGACTACACTATAGGGAACTTAATTGGATTATTATTATTTTCCCGCCACAACAGTTAACTTCCAAGGGGAACTTTCTGTCACATTTGGTTGCTCATCAATCAGTATCAAAGCTGGTTTAAGTATCATCAAAAAGGGCTGCTTGCGAATTATTTTAACCAGCAAGAAAGCCAAGTGAAGTGTTGCAAAATGTAGCAGCCGAAATACCAACTCTCTAAGGACGGACAAATGATGGGGATCAAGTTAGCATAGGATACGTAGTCTCATATAACATTGATTGTTCTATGCAGCACATAAATTGGTTGATTCTCCCTCCTTAATAGCCAGTTATTTTATGGAGAATTCCCCACCCCCACTTGAATGCTTATTAGAAGGTTATGACAAGAGTTACTAAGAGGAAATACTTGAAATGAACTCTGAAGCGTGAGGGGTAGAACTCATACTTCATCTTATTGCAATCTACATCTGACAAATCAAAGTAGGCGTGATAGACTGCAAAAATTGAGATATGTAGATGAAAAGGCCTGAGAATGACATCCCATGCATAAGAAAAGCAGAATGAAAGAGACACTGAACAAGACTCAAGTCTTTTATGAGTAGTTTTCAAGAATCTTTTCTTACACAACGTTGCGAACAGTGCCAATGCTGAGTAGTATAATATGATACCACTCACTTTCTGTTGAAAATTGAAATCATCATGTGTAGAATCATCTTCTCCACCCCATTTAGTATCGTCCAACAACTTCACGTACAGTTGGGTATTAAGGAAACATCTTCAGATTTTTGCATTGCACTCATCTTTACAATGTCAGTTGCATCTAAAAATGGCGACGTAATAATTCATCTGATGGATAATATATTCTAGAACAGGTCAAACTAGGGTGGAAACCCTGCTCTCTATTACACATGAAAGCTAAAAAATTAGTCAATGTTTACCGGGATCCCATTAGACATCTATCCTATTTACGTATTTCCTTTTCAAGTGTTGGTATATATTGGAATAAGCATAATTAGTGAAACTAAGTAATTCCAGCGGGGAGATAAGTGTCTAACGGCAACACAAGATTCAGAGAAGAGAATTACCTGGGAAGATAGTGAACTGTGTTGTGTGTCCTTTATCCAACACATGATGAGATGCTCTTCCCGGCTGCTTTGGGCCCGTGAGTTGGTCGACATAGTTGGGAAAGTCCAGTGAGAAATGTTTCATTTGGCCAAAAGACTCCTGCTGAACTGTTTGAGATCCATGGGCAGTCCACCAGGGGGCTGAAGTTACAGATGACAATTGTCCAATGGAATTGTGGACAATTCCTTCATGTTCTTTGAAATAAACAGTTTGCATGGCCATGTGAACCCTCTAAAATGATCTAAACGATGATTTATAAGGTAATCTTGTTTGTCTGAATTATTTCCTGTCTGTAAAACAAAGATTGTAAAGTAGGCACGTACTTGTGAGTAACATGTACTCATCCAAATGCGCGGGTGAAAAGATCATAAATCAAGCGAGAAAAGATGGGAGACTGGACTTTGCATAAATTAAAGCTCGTTGCTACAACTTAACACGGTACCCATTCTTCAAAAGAGCCTCAGTCAAGAGCCTTTTCTTTTAAAATGCAACATAACAGAAACACTGTTTCCTCAGCTTTTCCATCTAAAAAAGGACGATAATGATTTGCTGTAGAAAGCTCAGCCAAAAAGAACTTCAGAATTAAGTGTTCACAGACCTTAAAAACAGAACGCAATGTGAAACAAAGGAGACAATGGTAGGAAGAATAGGAAGAAGAAATTATTTGAGAAAAAAAGCGACGCTACCCAACAATTTTAACCCAAAAAAAAAAAAATGCAAATAGTGCAGCAGAAATGAGCATGGAATACAAAAGCCAGGTGCATGAACCAAGTTTATTATAAGCAACCTAAGCCGCAGGGACATGAAAAAACTTGAGAAACTCAAAAAGGTTAAAAAAAATCCACTCACAGACACACACACACACCCACCCACCCACGGGGGCAGAGGTGAAACGCAAGAGAATGAGTAGATAAAAGCCATCAATTGCATGAAGAAGAGAACTCACATGGGAGTGAAAGAAGTAAAGAAGGAGGAAACAGCATGAAATTCGAGGCAACAGCAGGGAAAGCCTGTTAAGTTGGAGCCATGTCGGTAGAATTTCAAGCAACGCAGAGACACTCAAAGTGGGGGGAGAGGGGGAGAGCGAGACGAGTAAAGTGTGAAGGGAAACACAAAGGGAAATCACCAATGAGCAAACGCTTTCATGCAGGGATCTTTTGAATGATCCTATGTGACCCTATTTATTCATAAATTATAGAAAATCAGTACCCTTTAGCCCTTCGCACCCACCGCGCACACACTCTCAGCCTCGCTTTCTTAAATAGGTTTCCATCTATTTGCGGTAACGTCTCTTCACTGTTTATCATACAAACTGCATCCGTACATCATCACGTCTCCAACGAGCTATCTGTCACTCTGCTGTTTCCGCTTTAATCCTCCCATCTTCTTATATCTTGCTTAGCATTGATTATTATTATTATTATTATTATTATTATTTTACGGTTTGAATTCCTTGACTTTACAAAATAAATTGCATGTGATAATGCCATGCATTTCACTAGTTGGAGCTTTGATATGTAGCAACCAAAAATCAAAGTTGAAGCCATTTTCAGTGCGAATTAAATATAAAAAGGATGGTGGATATACAAGTTCAGCCGTCCAAAATAAATAAACAATTAACAAATATCATAACCTCTGGCTTTTCTTTTCTTTTTTTTTAAAAAAAAACTTATCAAACCAAGATATGCCTGTAAATTCAAAGAGTATTACAAATATATTGATAAATTGTTTACTAATAAGATTTTCACATCTATAATAAGATTTGATTATATGGTTTTTATAAGTTAAATTTTTACTAATTGATTGACCGTTCTACCTCTTTTAACCTCTTTTGATATAAACATGCATATATGTCACTACACTATGTATTAGCGGTTAAAAATATGCTAAAGTAAATGGCATAGTTACGTTATGTAGCCTACGATGCAGCTAGTCTTGTGGCCAGCACTAGTTTAACTAGTTAAGTTACATTCAGAGAATCACTAAGCGCAGTTAAATAGGACCACTTCAAAAGGTTTAGCCCCGGGTAATAAATAATTATATAACTAAACTATCAAAGCGCATTTGTCTTCCCATTTCAAGTTGGGGTCATTTTTCAAGCCGGCCCCAAGCTTTTTCAATGTTAATATATACTAATTATATATGTGCGTACGTGTAAGTTTATAGGTTCATGGGACTTTCACGCTTGCTTTTATGAGCCACATTACTATGACTTAATTAGTGATTTCTGCCTTCACATTTGCAGACTTCAGTTTCAATAAGTAGCCGGCTAATTAAATGTTTTGACACAACTATATTGTTGCTTATATAGCTTGAAGGCGCCTTTAGTACGACCAGATACAAAAAAAGATGATGAAAAAGAAAACACATGAGATGAGATATAATAGTTGCACTCATGTTCAGAAAATAATAAAAATTTGCTAGTAAGCTACGTGATCTAAGGACACGAAATACCTCCCTTAAGTCTCTCTTAAACCTGAGATATTGCAGATTCAACCTTCTTTGGAACTGTAAAGATGAGCACATGAGTTCCTTTGGTGGATGAAGGATAACATAGAAAAGGGAAATTCGCTAGCATAGACGGCTGAAAAATGTCATTCACATATAAAGATTAATGAGAAATTTATTGTTGTTAAAATGAGAGAAATAAATTTTTTTTTCTCAAATGATAACTTGTTTGCAAATAATACATTTCAACAGTTCTTACATGCAATTTTCCTTAAAGAAAATAAGAAAATAAAAAAAAACTGACATATAATATATGATTTCTTTTTCTAATATTTTTAACTTTTATCTTTCATTTTTTGCCCTTTTAATAACGATCTTTGTTAGGATACGCAGAACACAGTACGTCTAATGTCGCCCTCTCTGCTTCTAACCCAGCAATAATATTCATTGGATTCCTAGAAAGATCATTTGCGGCTCTCCATAGGCCACTATATAATTAATATTTATATCACTTTTCTTCCCTTTCTTTATGGATAAGAACCATTTCTGTCTCTCCAAAATGACATGCTTTCAATTCGTATAATGTGTTAGCATTTATTGGAAAGAACAAATCACAAATAAGTATATAAATATAAATATAAAATATATATAAAAAGGCGGTGTTTTATAAGTTACACATGATACACCTTATTTTTTCATCGTGAGTGCGTACATAGAAGTTAGCAATACAAGGATTAATTACATCTAGCCAGATAGTACGTAGAGCCAGCTGTGTGACATGAGCAATTGACTAGATTGTTTAGTTGCTGGATTTTGTCGGATTTAGTAATCTGGAATGCCTGCAGTCATATTGTCTTTGCTTCCTTTTAGAGTTGCTTTGGCAGATAAGTATGAGCTTGAACCTTGCTAATTAAGCTTTTTAAAAGTATTAGTCGAAATAAATCGCACACCATCGCCCCAAGTTTTACTTTCGATCCTTTGTGCTTTGATTAATTTCTTTTGAAGAAAACGTTATGTCTTCACAATAAGCGTATCATTTTGAAAGTATTTTTTTAACTGGAGAATGTATTGGGCAGATTTATTGCACTTGTAACATAAGCTTATGATTTCTTCTTCTTTACAATGGATTTCTCGTTGGAATGTCAAGTGTGAGTTAACTACCTTGGTTTAGTATAAAAAAAAATTCACATCTAATAAAGTTGGATTGGAGAAAAAATATATAAATAAAAAAAACTCCTAAATTTAACCCCTTAAAATTTAAAATTAAAATGTAGTGTCATACTTATTTATATGTGTTTTGGGTTTGTATTGAAAAAAAAATCTCACATTAAATAAGGTTAGATTAAAAAAGAAATACGTATGCAGCAAATACTCATAAATTTAATGCCTTAAGATTTTAAATTAATTAAGATACGGTTTCATACTTGCTTCTATGTCTCCCCAAATTGTGTTCTCTCTCCTTCGGAGAATGTTCACTGGGCCAACACTCCTTGTGAGTTGGCGAGCCAGTGAATAGCTGGGGGCGACTAATGCCTTCCTTTTTTTTTTTTTTTGACACGATTGGTTAATTGTCCTTTGCGAATGTAATGAAGCCTCTCAGAAAGCAGGCATACAAAGAGTACAATTTTCTTAACTAGCTAAAAAGTCTTGATTTTTCAGCACCGGTTAATTTGACACCAATTCTAAAACCGGTGCTGAAAGCTACTTTTAATTAATACTAAAAATATTTTTTGTAACAGTGAGGTAGGTGCTTTTATTAATTAGAAGTGCACAAGACGAGTGGAATGATGATAATATGATGAATGAGATATGAAGGTGATCAACAAGTAACTATAGGTAGGTAAGGGGACATTTCAACTATCTAATTAATTAATTTATACGCTAATTAACGGTTCAATGAAGGAGAAAATTAGCAGGGATTAGAGATAAGTCAATGATTTAGTTGAAGAAACTGAGGCCATCAAGATGATGAGTAAAAATAAATTGAAGGCAAAGAAAATGAACTGGATTCGGCATGGTGGTGATCACAAAGTCGCACTTTAGAATTGATTGAGAAAGACTGCTTTGATTGTCGATTCCAGGAAAATGTGGACAACCTTTTCCCTATTTCTCGCCTTCTTGGCTGTTTACAACCACTAAACGCTACTTAGAATCCATCAAATATAGTTTTATATGTTTTGGAGTTCGATCAATCAAAATTCCATCAGACACCATCAAATTGAAGTACCCTCTCCGAAACTGTAAAAATTAATATGGCTTTCTAATCTAAATAATTCAATCAGCAGAGTCTTCCCTTTAATAATGAGATATTCATCTCCCCTTGTTTAGAAAAAGGAATTATATAGCCCTCGGAGGCAATAATTGTCCTTGGATTTTCTCCACTTTCCTGTTTAGGCGTATAGATTAATTAGCCTTTTGAATTTAGTCTACATGTGGAGGGATTTTTCAGTTAACAGAAAAAATTGATGAAGTTGGGTTTTGAGACTTCATTTAAGTTCAGATTTCACCTCAAAAATTACTTACGGAGATATTTTTAGTTAACTAAATAGGATTATATGATATTGATAGCAATATCTAAACACAATATCGGTCAAGTTTCTAACAACTGACGAACTAATTTTTATTCATCATTGACATTAATTGGTAAAATTCTTTTTAGTTTTTAGTCGTTTCTAGCTAATTTAATTTAGAGGGTTTCAAATTTATTGTCAACACTCAACACAGAATATCGAATTCTCACCATGATCGTTCTTACACGCATATTGTTTCCTCATCATCTGTTACAGTTCCCGATAAACTCTAATTATTTTCAATTAACATAAATTGGCCGTCCCTCCAAAGTCCTTTTACCATGAGTATTAGAAAACCATTGAATTGACAATGCAATGCAATTTTCAAAAATAATAAACAATGTAATTTGGTAAAGACAGTACGTTCTGTTTTCCTTCTTGATTATCGGATTTCTGATATTGAATTCCATGAAAGGCAATGAATACATAACAAAAAAAAAAAAAAAAAAAAACTCCTTGCTCTTTAAGTGATTAAACCTCAAACAGGATAAATGATGGACAACTTTCGTACCTGCAATCAAAGAATGGTATTCATGTGAATGCATATATAGACTGCTTTTCTTGTTTTTTTTGGCTTTAATTCAATTCAATATAATCCGTTCACATTTTGGACTAATTTGCTTGTAAATAAGAAGAAAAGCAAAGGTGGTTGTGGTGGAGGAATAGAGAAAGATGGCCTCTTTATGGTATGCATCACCCAGTGCGTTTATTCGAGTGGACATGTGAAATGATCACACCTTTTTGTTTCTTTATTAATTTCCATAATTAAACATATATAATGAAGTCTTAAAGTACTTCAGCTGATTAAAGCTCAAATCACATGTCAGCCAGTAAATCACCCTCTTACGCTAGCTATGCACGTCAACTTCATCCTGCAGTTAATAAAGTCTACCAGATAAAAATATATACATATATAATTAATTGCAACTGGTAATTAAGTCAGTGTCTGTAAAATTCACAGTCCTATAAGATGAAAGTCAATATAAAAAAATACTCATAATAATTAATTTGCACTATCTGTTATTTAGTTTAAATTATGAAAGTTACCGAGTAAATTAATACAAGAATACAGGAAGCATGTATTACTCAATGATACGTAAGGATCATGGAAAGAAATTAAGCATTTTCATCCATTTACTTCTTTCTTAAAATCTTGATCCTTTTTTGTAATTTTTTTTAACAATTATAACTCTTTAAAAATTAGAATGATCCTTCCATATCCTCTTTCTCATTCCCTCCTTTTATTTTGGCGACATTGCTGGGCCACTCTGATTTACTCAGTCTGTTTTTTTTTTTTTTTGCCAACATTTACTCTGCTGCATATTTTGTTCACAACAAATACCAAATGGAGACATATTTAGTTATTTTAATTTGATGTGGTAAGCACCCTGGGATAATCTCCGCTTGTGCAGGCGTTTGTTTCTCTGAAAGCATACTCATAAATCACTAGCCAGTCTCGAGAAATGGCATTTCTTATTATTTTCTTTAGGATATTATTTAAAGGAGATAGGAGATACCACACATGTACGTACCAAGTCATTACAAAGTATTGAGTCTCCTCGGATCAACTTTTTTCAACAATGTCACCTTCTGGCAACTATTTGTAAAAGAAGGCTCCAAAACTCATCGCCTGCTTTTGATAAGAAAATTAGGGGGTTTTAATTTCCCCTTTCACAACATGGAAAATTTATCTAATCAAAGTTGGTAGCTTAACATCGCCTACACTTAAATATTTCTTAATTATATAATACTCGACCCTCGTAACCTTTGACACGCTGTTTTAATTAAAATTGTTATTTTAAGCATCATGTGGGTTACGTGGTTAATTATTTAATTAGCAAAAGAGCAGCATTTAAAAGCCAGGGAATCATAACCTTTGAATAAACTCAAAGATTGCCCTAATTAAATCAGTATTTCAATTATAATTAAACGATTGCTTTCACTTTCTGCTGAAAAGGTGCAGTGGAGCTTCCCCTGGGCCTCTAAATATTATTCAATGCATCTAATAAACTTTACGACGCAATTAGCTTATTCCATGAGAAGCAGTCTGGGAAAAGCTTTAAGATTAATTTAAAGTTTAAACAAATTAATTTGTACCTCTTATCAAGTCCAAACTAAACAAACTATATGATAGCAGTTTCGAAGTAATCACAAGCCTTGGTGACCTTGCCCTATCCAGATCGTGCATGAGTTTAAATGCCATCTCTAAGAGGTGGTAGAGATGAGCCGTGGCAATGGATCAAATCCTCTCATGTTTGGAGTAATGAGAGTTTGGTTTTGAATTTAGATCAAGTTTCCCATCTTATATTCCAATCATTTGAAATTTCAATTACTTAAAATAACATGTTCATTTCATATTCTTATCTCTTATTGATTAAAAAAATATGTAAGTAATGCTCATAACTTTTAATTTTTTTCTTTTTTTTGAATCTCAACTCATCACTCTTCTTTATTTAAATCTTTTTTAAAACTTCATAAATAACAAATTTTAAATACATGAACAGTAAATGTGAGTTTTAAAATATAAGATTTTAAATTTAAAATTTAAATCCAAATTTACCACTTCAAATGCTATCTTAACGTAATTGAGAGAGAGAGAGAGAGAGAGAGAGAGACTCATTGACTAGAGCTTAATCTGGCAATAGACAAAAAGAATGACCCATTTATAGAAAGTAGGGGAAGCCTGGAGGCCTAAACTCGGTGGGCAGCGCGCGAAATTAATGGAGGGGGCTGCTGCATAATTAATTTGTACCCTAGCTAGGTTTGGTCTGGGACTAATATAATTTTGGGGGGGGGGGGGGGGAGCAAAAGTGGGCATTCATTATGTTCAAATTACTTGGCAAAACCTTAAATAAGGCAATCATTGACCTGCCTACATAACACAGATGAGGAAGGAAAGCAGCTGAGATCATCATCCAGCACTGATCTGTTTTAAAAAACTCAACATAGCCTATGTAAAGCAAAAGAGGGAGATTCTTTTGTGAGAGAGATCATCATCCACTCTGAAGATTCAACAGTGGCACATAATGGCAAATCACCTTCCAATTGACTCTGAAGTTGAGATCTCTTGATATCATTAAGCTAGGAGATTAGTTACCACGGTTAAATCACTGAATTCCCAATTACATTTTGAGATCAGGAACGTGGTACTGAGAAAGTACAGGTTGTTCGCCTCATAAATATGAAAAAAGTACCAAGGTCGTAAGATGGCAAAGTGGGTGTGCATGTCATGTTTTACAGCTCAAATGACGAGAACACGATGCTTCAATAGTAGAACAAGTGGTGAGGAAAAAGTTTGATGGGTTCGATGAGATGGGAATACCACTAAGGTTGAAACAAGTGGAGTTGCGTTTCCTGATCACTTGAAGCGAGAAGAATATTCTTTGATTTTTTTTTTTTAAAAGGCAAAATCCCCCTTAGAATCTTTTCCAACCATACTCGCACCTCCATTCTTAATCATTTCTTCCCGCTTTGGCACCAACGAAGCACAAGTGGCGAGCTAAACAAACATAACTTTGCCTTCTCCAGCAATATATAATTAATAACGTCATGGGATAACCATGATAATTAATAATAATATTTTGATTGCCAGGTGATTAATTAATACTAATTAATTACTGTTCATATCCCTCTGGGCTGGGCAAATTAAACTCTATTTTAGTTGGTGACTTGGCGTTACAGGGCATCCTCTTTGTTGTGCTAATGTCATTTAGTTTATTAGGCCCAGCCGAAACCTGGCCTTAACTTGAGCCCAACGAATAGCCATCAATTTAAATAATTATGAATTCAAAATTTTTAATTATAAAAAATATTTAAATTTTAAATATAACTTTCAGATTTATAATTAATATTCAATCTATAACTATAAAGATATATTTACAATTAATTTTTATTTTTTAAAAATCTAACTGTCATTATTTTTAAAAAATTATTTTTTTTTTTGATACAAATCATTGTTATATTTGTAAGCATGGTCTTTCTTTCAGTGGATGAAAAGTGAGAACAAAAAGCTCATGAGCTTCGGGCTTCCGTCCATTCAAGGACGTTGTCCAGAAGATGTACAGAACGAAGGGTCTTTATTGGGCCGCAATCATTCGACCTGCTTCAACCTTATTTGACACGATTCGCTTAATTATGGAAACACGATGACGAGAAAATTCTTTTTAACTTCAAATCCTTCGCACCCTGACTTAGAAATTGAAAATTTTCAACAGAATAAGATTATAAAGTTAGTTATAATTTTTTAGATTAGCCTTACAATTGAAGGCAAGACTAGAAATATAGATACAACTGTGCGCATATAATTAAAAACAAGAGTAAAAGATAAGTCTGAAAGTCTTGTTTAAATAAAAGTTCAAGCTTAAAAAATATGAAAATTTTAGGGTAACAAAGCTTCTGGCCCAACCTTGATAAGCGTTGAAAAAAAGAATTTGAACTCGGGAGGCCCTTCAAGCTATGTTCTATTTTTTCCTTCTACCTTGGAACATATCATTTGGTAAATAAAAAAAAAAAAATTCCAAGCATTGGATCATTCTAAGTTCTTTAATTTTTTTTGTCTCTTGACTCAATCTCTCCCTCTCTCCCTCTCCTTTTCTCTAGCTATCTCACCTCTTTCTCTTATCACTCTGCTAGCCTTTTAGCACTATTCATCTCTCAACTTATCTCTCCTTCTCATCTCTTGACTCAACATCTCTCGACTTGGCATCTTCCTTAGAACGTTTTCTTGCATTGACTTTTTGGTTCTCTTACTCTCAAACAATTCCTCTTCCAACATAGATCTTTTTTGTTAGGTTATGAATGTTTGACATTTCAATTTGGTATTTGCTTTTAACATTTTAATTTGATTTAAAAATTTTGATTTCTCATGTCATTCTATAAGGATTATATTGATATGTCTCATTTATTTTGTTTTTGAAACTTTGTTGTAAATTATGATAACATCAACTAATATGTATTTAGACTTTTAAATCTTTTATTTATTTTTTAGATAATATAAGATTTTGATTTAATTTATGTTAAATTTTAGAGTTAAATTAAAATGTTAAATATTATGATGTTGAATTAAATTATTTATTTTAAAAGAACAATATTAAATTTTAATATTAATTTTTAAAAAAAATTTGGACTTCTGGCCTGACCCCTAGCCCTATCAATAAGGGTCAGGCCCAAAATACTATCAAAATTTAAAACACTGAATTTCAGGGATTAGGTTATTAAAAGCTGGGTCGCCTGTGCCTCCATCTCTACATATAATATGTGTGGTGTCTCGGGGGAGCTCAAGAATTAAAAAAGTCCAATCCGAAGAATAAAAAAGACAAATACCAGCTACTTCTCAGATAATGCATGGAACGTGCGCAAATATTGACCCATGAACAGTAACGTATCTGAAAGAAACACGGTGTCGAAATGAAAAGCTCCAGCTTATGAATCAACTCCCAGAGAGCAGCGTTGACCTCCATAGCCAGCTAACCTTAATTTAACGTTAGGAAAAGCTTCACATGCCCTGCCCATGCCCTGCGGCCTCACTGTCTTGTGTTGTACCGATCCTAAATGTACCTTCCCTGGTTTTGAAAAAGCTTAAACGTTTGCTTCCTTAGCTACCCTCTCTCTCTGATCCCCCCCTCTTCACACCGTTGACTTTGACATTATTTCATCTTGCACCCCAAATAACCAGTGTTCCATTCATCCATCATTGCCTTGACTTCCCTTCATGGCTGACCAAGCCCTTCCTAAAGTCATCCCCTCGATCCCAAGCACAGTTTCTGCTGCTGCTCCTCCTGTCCCATCGTAACAAGATGAGCAACAACGGCACGGATAATTCCTCTGGATTCCTAGGATCCAACAACATTAGTGGATTCGGGTATGGCATAGGAATATCAAGTGGGATTCTGCTGCTCGTCACCACCATCACCCTCACTTCCTATTTCTGCACCAGAACACAGTCACCGTCTTCTCCGTCTGCCTCACCCGCTCAGAGAAATCTCCCCACGTTCCTTGAGCCGCATCACACGGTGGTGGATGTGGGGATAGACGAAGCCACCATTCTGAGCTACCCCAAGCTGCTGTATTCTGAGGCCAAGCTCCAAAAGCCAGATTCCACGGGGACGTGCTGCTCCATTTGCCTAGGAGATTATAAAAGCAGGGACATGCTTCGGGAGCTACCTGATTGTGGCCATATATTCCACCTCAAGTGCATTGATCCGTGGCTCAGATTGCATCCGACGTGTCCTCTCTGCAGAACATCTCCTGTCCCGACACCACTCGCAACACCTCTCGCCGAGGTGGTTCCGTTGACCACCATGCGGGCACCATAATCGTAGGGAGTAGCAACACTTGATCAAAGCAGAATCAGAATCAGAATTCTGAAATGCTTTTACATCGCTGTCACGTTATGGAATTAAGACGCAGTTATTGATAGACCATTCTTTCTCTTCTGTGGGTTTTTTTCCTCCGTCTCTCGTTTGATTTGATATTGTAAATTCTTTCCCATTGTGGCAGTGTCCATCAGTTTTTTTTTTTTTTTTAAATATTGTTCAATTTCTGATTAATTTACCTGGACACTTTGGAATGTCTAGTTTCTCCATTTCTGAGTGCTTGCATCCTTACGTCCAAGTAGAAATGAATCGTCGTTGCGTTGATCTGGAACTGTATGACAATATAGAATCATTCAGAAAATTTCCAGTTTTCGGATCCAGGCCCGGAAAGAAGATTATAAATTGTACATTAACTCTACTTCAAAATTAAGCTAACCCATGTTCAAGTTTGTACTAGAGTATAATTCCTTGAATTATTGTAATGAGAACATTCCTAAAATACATGTATAAAAAGACAAGCAAACCATAAGGAAAACAACAATTTGCTTCTTGCAATGAGACTTTCAATCTAGTTTCAATTGATTTCGGCCATTAAATCACAATTTTTGTACTTCATAAACCCAGTTACATATTCTCTCCGCTCAAAACCTACCTAGCCCAGATTACGACACCGTAGAACGTCTCATTTTGTTTGCTCTCTGTTAATAACAGTAGCACTAGCATGGGTATCAAACCACTCATGCCCATCATGATGGGGTAAGATGATAGATAGTTGACTGCAAAGTTTACCAGAGATAAGAACAAAACTACTTTTCTACTAACAGGAAGGATATTCGTAAATATAACCAAAATCTAGAACTGCCAGACAGCAACTCATAAGAAATAAAAATCTGTATGAAAATTCTGCCAAAAGCTATATAAACCATTCACGAGCAGAATCTTTCAGAATTACATGTCAGATACCAAAAGTTTGCGCTTGCTTAAAAAAGGAAATTAGGAGCCATTTACATATCCTTCCCAAGTAAAAAAGGGAAGAGAAAACTTTTTTTTTTTTCCCGAGGGGTGGGGGTGACAAAAATTACACAGGCTTAGCTCACCGTTAGGCTTTTCTTTAGTTAATTTCACTTCAAAACCGGAAACGCTCAGAATTCAGGACAAACAACCAACACCCTTGGCTCAGTGTTAATTAAGATTTATGCCAGAACCTCAGTCACTGAAAGGGCAAGATTCACGGGTGCATCCATGAGTGCTGGGATCAGTGGAACTACAGTATGTGATGGTAACAACTGGGTGAAGTGGAACTCAATTTGCAATCTGTGATGAAGTGGTGTAGATGATATTAAGCCTTTCTTGACATCAGCTTGTAATTCCCTGATAGGAATTGCAGCCAAGAAGCTTTTAATGTACTCTTTACAAGCTTCCTTCCCTTGGCACACAAGCTCCTCTTCCTGCTCGTCGTTCAACTGCTCTTCTGGCTCCACACTAGAATCTACCTCCTTGCTGTTGACTTGCTGGCCCTGCCTGTTATTGCGCTCTGATGCTATTGCAGCAGTTTGCTCATCTGATGACTGCGCTACATTTTTCATCTTGTTTATCACTGTGCTGTCATCGAATTTTAGTATATAAGCCTGATTACATCCTTCATAAAGCCTCTCCCCCAAAGTGTCAATGATGTAATAAGCATCTGCTTCTACTTTGAGGATGAAAAAATGGTCATTCCAACTCACAATATAAACACGGGGTTCAGCCTTGCTAGGGCACTCCTGCGCTGCACGATTAATTTCATCCCAAATGTTATCGAAAGACATGGCGCCATGCAGAAAATCAAATCTTCCTTCATCCATTCCTTCTGGATGGAAGAAACCAATAAAGGATTTCCCAGGAACCACAGAAAGGGGACGTATTTTGGCTTGAATTACTGTGTCCAGATCAAAGTGTTTGTCTGGAAATCTCTCCCTATAGGTCTCATATTCGCACAAGTTTCTCCATTCTAATGAACCTTCTCGAATTAGGCTATCAAACTGGGACTTTATGGGCATGAGATCACGATTGTTTTGAAACCAATCAGCAATTACAGCTACAAGGGCTGTACACGCACTCTCACCAGCCGCACGTTCACTGCGCTGATCAATTGAGGCAAAGAAGACCTGAGTCAGAAGCTTCATGCGACCATCACGACTCATTACTTCTTTTTGCTCCCAACTCCCAATGGCAAAATTATCATCTCCAAATTCAGAGATTGAACATCGATTTGCGCACAAGTCATCCTCAGTCTTGTGCAACTGGAAGATATAGCTGAACATCAGAACTGATAAGCTAAAAAAACTATGTGCAACGAACGTTGAAGATTCTGAGGTTGATGCCACTATAGTTTACAGAATGTATGTATAATTGATTGGCGTATAGCACATTTACTAGCTAAATGAAGAATTAAAAGTACAGCTCAGTAAATCATCAGCAGTCATTGCATTTAGTATTTATATAAAATCTAATACTCATGAGGGCAGGGACACTTATTGTCAAAGATGTTTATACCATATTCTAGCTCACATGAAAAGATTTATAGTCACCATTCACTAAGCAATAACATAAAATATATATATCCTGAGCATCAAATTTCAGATTACCAGATAGCAAACCTATTGAAGAAATACAAAGATTACAAAACCAATGGAAAGGAAACAATTAGGAGAAAGATTCTTACCCAAAGAGTAATGGATTCATCAGAACTAAGTTGGCGACGATCAAAATCTATGTCATCACCACCTTCTTCTGCATAGGCCTTCTTTAACAAGGGCTCCCCTTTAGCTTTAGGTGATCTGAAACTCAACTTTCTCTTCTTCCATGGCAATATACTACGTTTTGAACTTGGCAAAAGAGAAGGCTCAGAAGACGTCACAGATAAATCATCCATCTGCAAGCACCCCACATCTGACTTGCCGTTGCTGTAGTAAACCCAGTCCTCATCATCATCATTTACCCTCAAGCTGGAATAAAATGTCCCTCCAGCATTAGCATAGGCCAGTTTTCCATAACTGAATGACTTTCTCACGCTGATATCTTCCTTTCCCTCATCTGAATCTCCTTCTCCATAATCATCAAGTGAGTCAGAGTCGAGAGAATAATCGCCATCGCCGTCCTCACTCCTGGCAGAGCATCTGCATTCACTGCCCTCTTCCTCACTGCATGCCTTTTTTGCTTTCCGAGTGGATACGTACTCTGTGAAAATCTTTACCTTTCTAAGACCAGCTTTGATTGCAGAAAGCTCATCTTTCTCTGCCAGGGTAGAATCTCCTGGCTGGGTTGGAGATGTTACAGGGATTATACTTCTCTGAACTTGATCTATACTTTCTTGAGCATCTCTCAGCTCCACTAAGTTAACCGATACCTGCATGATCAAGAGATGCTATGAGAGGCAGAAAAATAAGAGAGACGCTCCGAATCAGAAGACAACGAACAGTTAATTCCACCCGCTTATACGCAAATAGGACAAACTGAAAGCCGCATGACATCAATGGCAGAACAATCGGGGGGGGGGGGGAAGGTGAGAGACATACGCAAAGCACAGGACAGGGTTCAACAGAACCTCCGGGGAGCGTGAGTGGGATGTTTAAATCGAAGTCTTTCTGATCATCTGCTGATGCAAATTCAGCAAGATTCAGTGACGCCGTTCCAACCACAGGAACCTTGTTCTTAGGCCTCTGATTTAATCCCTGCATTACATGGTACACCGGCATCCAGTTAGATAAATAGGAACAGTAGGAATCTAAATTCAAAACACCAGAACCAAACAAAAGAAGTTGTACACTGTTAGCAATGAAAGATTGCCCAAAAAATTCGTGACCAAATAGTGGACTATTTGAAGTAACTATAGCAAGAAAAATGCTTTTCAAGAAATAGTGGAATGTCCCGGCTTTAGTCAGTTATCAGCATAAGCATTACAGACGGACAAATTATGAAATTAACATCCCCCTATTCAATACTAGTACACGATTTTTCATTAAAAAGGATTCCAAAAGGGTGAAAACTAAAGAAAATGAGAAAAAATCTCATTGAAGGTAGACAGGCTCGTGTGAATAACCAGCCAAAAGATTGTTTAAATTTTTTTTTTTTAACAAAAACTTCGATTGATATGAACTTTCGTTTTGGTACATGAAATAGTAGGAACCAACAATTTTTTTTTATAATTTAAAATGTTTTATAAATCTTCATGGAAGTTAACATAATTTCTACCTAATAGAATTGTAAAAATGAGGAAGAGGGTAGATGAATTGAAAGGCAGGGAGACTAACATGAAAGACCGCGAAAGCGATCTCCCAAGGATGAAACGCATTGTCCTTGTGAGCCGAGAGAGTGCACAAACTCTGAAACTCCTCGTCCCAGTCAACGACGCCGTTGTGGGGGTCGCCGTACACCTCCCTGGTAAAGTTTCTGACCAAAACGCGCCGCAACGAACCAAAGGTTAACTTAGGACCCTTCCACTTAATTTCGACTGTCAATCTAGCTTCAGCAGTCCCCTTCTCCGCACAATCCCGTAGCAGATCACAACCCTCCAACCTCCTCACGACGAGTCTCACCTCATATTTCCGGTAAACGAGGAGCGGCCACGGCCGCCACCGCATCATCTTTACTACCATCAAGACAGACAAATACTAACAGAAAACTTGAACAACGAATGGGGTAGAAAGAATAGGGGAATCAGGAGTGGTAAGGCTAGCAACTGGGATCTCGGGAAATCTTCGTATCAAGAGTTGGAGAAAATGCAGGAACGCAATTTGCAAGAGAAATATTTCTGCGGAAAATCTACACGGGCAAAGGAGGAGAGTGAGGGGGACTGGGAGAGAGAAGATGCCGTTATTTTGGGTTAAAAAGGCGAGAGGCAAGGGAGATATGGGTAATCACGAATCAAACCAGGGTTAAAGGGCAGAGTACGGTTGTGGGGTTGAGTTTACGCACGAACAAACCACCTAGTTGACTCATCCAAAGTCCGACGGTTTCTCTTATTTCTGTTTTTTCTTTCTCATTCAATTTTATCCACCGTTTACTTTTTTCCCATTTCCAAGTATATCCATTCCAGGGATCTGCGAGAATCCTTAATTTAATTTGGTCCTTTTAAGTACCTGGATATGGATTGTCTTCCCCTTGGATGTAGTAGTAAAATTTCGTAAAAATGCATCACTTTATTTTACATCCAGATCTGTGGATTCAGATAACATCCAACAAATTGATCATAATAAATCATCACTTGATTTGCTGATAAGCATTTTAAATATTTGTTACTCTTTTGCCCAAAAAAAAAATTATTAGTCGATCCAGAGATCCGCCACGTAATTGCGTCATTTTTTTCTTTCCTATACTTAAATTGTGAAGTTGGCAAAGGGATACCGTTGAAGCCGAACCTGTGGATTCAGAGAACTAGCAAGCAACAAATTTGACCAAATCCATGCCTATTCAGAACTTCGTTCTTTTCTCTGTTTTTTTTTTTTTTTTTGGTTGGCCAACACGCATATACGTTTATTCAGAATTAACCACACGCTCCAAAAACTGGATTAACTAGGCGTGAAGGGTAATCAAGTTTCACCGTGTAATTCATAACTGCCAGCAGAGTGTGTTTTAGTGTTTCAAGCATGCATAGGCAATTCTTCACGTACTTGGCAATCAAGGGCTACGTCAAAGAAAAACAACTGTTGACGTGGTTTACATGCGAAGCATTGGGGCATGAACCTGCCTGTAATCGACGGGCATGATCGCATCAGTCATGACGACCTTCTTCCCCATCCCCATTTTTTAAATATTTTGTCCTCCTCTATATATTAATAACTTCACCAAGTGCACGCACCAGGCATGGGCGACCAAGTAATTGAACAGAGAAAGCTTATATATATACATATATAACCCATGTACATCGCCTTGTATCTGTGTTAGGGACTACAATTTACCCTGTCTCAATTTAAAATATAAGACATTAAGTAATTTTTTTAATTATTTTTTAATTATATTCTTATTTTATTTATTAGTCTTTTTGTTTAAAGAAATGATGGATTAAAATTTTAATTATTATTATTAAAACACTTATATAAAATATTTAATGAGAATAAAATTAAAAAGATATAATTTTTTTAAAAAATTAAAGTTTCTTCTGAGCATTTTAAAAAATTGTGAATTAATTATTAATATTTTATATTTTAATTAAAAAAAGAATTATTTTATAGAGTGTCGTCATTTCAGGCTGGCCCACCCTTCTGAGGAAAGGCAACCCCGGCCATAAATTTTCTCCATGTTAGCATAACAAATTAGCAGTTCAGATATACTAGCAGTGCTGGTTAATGAATTGAAATGCGAAAGCGGGGGCCTTTGATAGTTTCTACTTTGAGTGGTGGCACGACCACCGTTCCCCAGTTTTCAATTTCAAAATAAATGCACCATTGTTACAAAGTCAACCTTCGAGAAGATAATATCATCATAAATGCGCCTGATATTTCTTTCTTTCCTTTTCTTTTTTTAAAAAAAAAAAATCCCCGGGCATGCATGGATAATGGAGCACCAGAGATACCGGGCTTCGTTCGTGCCTTGCAGCCTGGGGTTCGATCGCCTGCGCTCGCGTCCACAGTTTTGCCGTACTGCCCGCTGCTGTAGCGACGACAAGGTATCATCGCCGTTTGTGGGACACTTGACGTGGCTTTACCAGTGCTTTACAGCTTGGCTTTTGGGACGGGCATAATTGGTTACAACTCACAAACAAAAATATTTTCCCCCTCAACAATCAACCAATCATTGAAAGCTGCGAAGGACTGTAGGGTGGGGAAAACATCTGTGGAATCTGTTTTAGGCCAGACCTAACACTGCATGGACAATTATTAGTCGTGGTCTCTGTAAGATCCACTCATTCTAACCGATGGCTTTCATGATTAGTAGGTAAGCTCACATATTTTAAGAATCCAGAATTTGACTCCTACTAGCAATTATATGTACATAGATATAACTCTTATATTGAATTAATGGAATTATAATAATAAAGAAATGGACCGAATGAATGATGCATATCATTGAGGCTTCATACGCCTTGGATCTTGTCGTGGTCCCAGTTACAAGGCGTGGACAGATGCGATATAATTACATTATTATCATTATTATTGTTATTCGGTGCTTTTATTTTTCTGAAACAAATGAAAGAGGGAGGCGACATTATTGAGCTTCAAAATAAACAAATTAAAATGAACTGCGTGATGCAGTGAATCCAGTAAGCAAAATGATTAATAGACGGTCGGATTTGTGAATGACGCATGTTTGAAATTGAGCCAATACGTCATATGATTGTACAAGCACTTAGAGCGTGGTTTTTCTTTTTTTCTTTTTTCTTTCCCCTTTCTGGGATTGACACTTGCAATGGTTAATAAGTGAGGTATTGTCGCCCAACATAAACATTGCTGTTGCTTATGCTCATGTGTTGTGAAAATTGAAACTTGTAATGAGTGTTGCTCCACAGCGTGATTGAACTAAACAATATTTCACGTTCTATAAGTCATCGCTTTTTCAGGATTTCTTACATTTAAATATCTTCTTCCTCTAGCTATCATCTTTTTATTACTTTTAGATTTTTTTTTTATATGTATAATTGTTGGGTGCAATGACGCCCTTTGTGAATGGATCCAGAGGCCAGGACATACAAACAGTTCAAAACTCCCACTTTGGTGCCGCCGATGTATCTTGCTTATCTCTTGGCATGCATAACGCAGAGTTTACAAAGCACTTCATAAGTTCCTTATTAATATATATTCTTCGCTGACTCAAGTTTCAAAGGAAGAATTGATTTATCTGGATTTAATTCCTATCCAACTCCAACGTTATAAGGTCCGGAGTAAATTACATTTATTAAGAAAATGTATTGGTTCAAGTGCATTTATTTGACGAATTTGGTGAAACTCATCGAATCTCTCCATCATCAGTAATTCAGTACTGTTTTCACTAGCTCTCTGTGGTTTCTTTTTTGTGCGGGGAAAGATCTCTCATGGAATGGAAGAATAGCTAATTAACGATGGGAAGCGAAAAGTAATGAACCATTTTGAAACGACGATGTGGTTTTGCTTTACTGACGGGAACTAATTGATGGAAACAATTATCATCGCTTTATTAGAAAACTAGAAGAGAATGAAGCATGCACTCAGTGAATTAGGTGGATAAGCAACGAAAACCCTTGAAAAGAAAGCTCGCGAGCGAAGCCTGGGACGAAAGCAACGCGTGAACAGATGGCCACTAATCATCGAAAAAGTAGGGGTGGGGCCCGTGTAAAAAGCACCCGATAACAGCCGCACATCACTGGTGGACAAGAGAATGTGATGCCGGTCAAGCAATCACCTCCCGCCACCTGTGCCACAATCTTTAAATAAAAAAATAATAATGTTTTCAAACATGACGAGTCTTAACAGGACAAGCAATAAAATATGACAAGAAGCGTTCAAGAAGAAATTGACCGTTTTTTTTTTTTAAAAAAAGTGAAAAGGAAATTTCAGTAACCGAAGTAATCAAAACAGGGACCCGAACTGTCCAGAGTGGGAAAGAATAAAGCCACAGCAAAATGAAAAAGAAGCAGACAATTACATCAGAGTAGACAAAAGATCAGAAGTTTTGGCAAAAATTAAAAAAGAAAAAAGAAAAAAGATCAAAAGTTTTGATGGTACGGTGAACAATAGAACGAGCTTGGCGCAGGATCCCGTTTGGCTATTAGGAAAAATAAAGATAAAATAAATTTAAAAAAATAAAAATCAAATTAAATTAAATCATTATCCTTTCACGTGAAAGTGTGATTAAACTCAATATTATATATGATAAATTTAAAAATTATGATACTCTCTAAAAGTATTATGAATTGTGACTTTTAATTTCATAAATTAAGTTATCTATTTTTATAAATATGATTCACCTATCCACATTCACATTTAAATCGTTTTATTTTTATGTTTTCAATCCATTTTATTCCAACAATCAAACTGGACATTAATCAATGTTAAGAGTTTTGGTCCTAGCACATGATTCATGAGCCCTGTTTGATTTAAGGTTGTCAAATTTTAGTGTGAAACCTTGATTTTTGTCTACGAGAATTTATGTTTGTTTTATATTTATCTCTTTTATTTTAATCACTTTTTATATATGTGGCTAGTATATAATCCATTAGTAGATAGTTTGATGAATTAAAAGGTGAAGAGCTTATCCAAACCTAGAGAAATAGATGCATATAACTAAATTAAAAAAATTTTAGGAGTTTGTGATGGTTTCGATCCTAGCTTCATGGCTTAGTTAGAGATGACTCCCTTTGGTCTTATGTATAATTTATTGCTAACATGTTTTATCAAAATCAAGAAAAATCTTAAATCTTATTAACTTTATATTAAAATTTAATAAGTTTCAATATTTATCCATAATAAATGTTCTTAAATCTTATTACTGATATTTTTATTCAAGATATTTAATAAGGGCAAAAAATGTAAATATGAACATTGAAAATTAATAAGTGCACTTGAAATAAGATTAAATTTTTTCTTCTCTCTCCGCTTTATAAATAGGATTAGAGAAGTAAAATTTGATGGGAGCTAGGTAAACTTAACTATAATTAAATATATCATAATATATTGATAAGTAATTAGGACACCTTATAAATGATTATCACTTTAAAATAAATGAAGATAATAAATTAAATTAAAATAATCCATCTTGACAAGTGAATCTTGATCCTTTACGGTCGTTTGACTGATCGGTTCATGTTTCATCATCTTTATGGTTGTCTTATTCAACTGTATTTTTAATTATTTAATTTAAATCTCTTTTCAAAACTCTTATTTTGTTTATTTAATTCCCAAAGTATTTTATGAGTCGAATCTAGAGGAAA